TAGAGACAGAGTCCCACTGTGTTGTGCAGGGTGGTCTCAAACTCCTAGGCTCAAGCAGTCTTCCTGCCTCAACCTCCCAAAATGCAGGGATTAAAGGTATGAGCCACTGTGTCCGGCTCAAATCAACTTTCTGTAACAGAAATTATATCAGAAAGACCACATACCACAGCTATATGTCCCAAGTTGTACCAGACATCAGCTGCCTCTTCTTCATTTTCAGCCAAAGAAAGGGCACGTTCAAATGAGGTCAGAGTCATATCATACTGCTGGGCATAGAAGCAACACAGCCCCAGATTGTTAAAAAGCTGGCAGTTATAAATGCCCATCTGCAGCAGTCGCCTTTTCAAAAAAGAACACACAAATTTTGGTGTCAGATCAACTTTATAAGTTTTGAGACATATATATATATATATTTACATAGTTAAAATGAATTCATCTTGTGATTTTTGATACTCGTAAGAATATAAACACAATGTGTTACAGTAAATGAAAAAATGTGTAAAGCAAATACAAACACGTGTCTTTTATAATGGTACTAGTCATGGGGAATGTGTCTAGAAACAAACAACTGATCTGTTTTTTTCCCCAAATGCTTTGTTAGAGAATCAAAATAAGAAATAGTCACTAAAAGTAAAGCCCACACACTTTAGCTTTATAAAGCTTTGGTGCCCAAAGAGTAAACTCCTAAAACCTTCTAATCTAATTTGAGGAATGTGTTTAGCATTAACCTCTATGTTTTCAGCTGAGTTGGAGCCCGTTTCTGGCTCTCTATACTTGTGCTTCAGCTGTGTCTACTGACCTCCAACAAGCTTCCACTGAGGAGGACAAGACCATCAGTGGATCCTTACATTATGCACTTAGCTGTCACACTGCAGCTGAAGAGCCCCATTTGCTTCTATGCATCATTAATCCCACAGGACAAAGGACAAGAGAGTTCAAATAAGCAAATGAAAATCCAGCCCAGCTGCTGTGAGAAACCCATGACCCACTTCGGGGGTTAGGGAGTAGAGTCAGCTGCATGTGCAGAGAATAGCGTTCTTATTATTACATTTTATGCCTCTAACACATATTTGGAAAGAACTCATGTCAGCTGCCAGTCATCTCTTTGTATATTACCCAAGGGCTAAAGAGGAAATCATAATTTAAAAATTAACTTCAGAAGTCATATGTAGGAAGAAATAAGTACTTAAAAGAGAATCAGTGAATATAATTTATTTAGATTGAAAAAATATTTGGAAAAGAATTGACAACGCTGCCCAAAACAGGTGATTCTGTTTCAGGTCCTGATCAAGGTTCAGAACATAGGGCCAAATGCACTTTGCAAATCTTTTCACCTTTCAATTTCAGTGTCTTTATGTTTAATGATATTAATGGAGGCAATGATGATGAGAAGTTTTAAGCAACTATTAAACCGTTATTGGTTGGTGACAAAATGGCTAACGCATACAATGACAATGGGGTTTAAAACTCAGTCAGTTATCCAGTGTGTTTCTGCAAGATGCCAGACATCTGCATGTTTCCAAATTATTGGTTATCAATTCAATGCTCATAATACATCTGGGTGCTGAAATTTTTAGTTTCATAAAAACATGATATATCTTATTCCTTATTTCTTATTTCTTATCCTATATCTTATTTCTCTATAATCTCATTCCATCTTTGTTATTGTTTCATCAGTATTTCACAAGAAAGTAGTTCTATGAATTGGATGTAAAGTGCACCTGTAAAACCGGAGAGCTATTTCTGGCTGATCAGAATAGAAGTGGTTGCTTCCAATGCATGCAATGGCTTCCACATGAGTATTGTCTTGTTTCAAAACTTCTTTGTAGTATTCGGCTGCTGATGACATATTGTTCATTTCCTATTCTCCATGAAGACAGAAGAGCAATATTTTATTAATATTGAACAAGAGATTGTTTTTTTCATACTGATTTAAGTCCATTCATTCAACAAGTATTTATTGAGAGGCTACCATGCGCCAGACTCCATTCTAGACGCTGGGGATACAATCTGAACATTGTCCTCAAGGAGGAGCCATCTGGTATGAAGGGCAAACAAGTAACGTAAGAGAAGGTTAAGTGCTGTGAAGAAAAACAGAGCAGGGTAAGGAGAGCGAGTGAGAGAGGGAGAGAGAGAGAGAGCAGGGAGGGTGTGCTTCAGAAGGGGTGATGGAAGGGGCCACTGCAGAGGAAGTGCTATTTGAAGAGACCTGAATGAAGTGAAGGATCAAGCCTTGAGCATATCTGGGGGAAGCTCACCCTGGACAGAGGGAAGAGCAATGTATGAGCCTGAGAGGGGAATGTGCTTGTCACACATGAAGAACCACACGAAGGTAAATGAGGCTGGAAAGAGGGAAGGTGGCACAAAAGGAGATCAGAGGCAGCCAGGACCTTTGTCAGTCATGGTGAGAACTTCAGATTTTTTTTCTAGTTGAGAGAAAGCCATTAGGAGAGGAATAACAATCATATTTGCATTTTGAAAGAATAGCTTGACTGCTGCATGCTCGACAAACGAAAATAGGGAAGAATAGTGGCAGGAAGAACAAGAGTCCAGCAACCTAGACCAAGCTTAGAAACACATATACAATTTAAAATTAAATAAACCTTCTATAGTTATTATGGATTCTTTCTAAAATATTGATCATCATAAATACATGCATCTAATGTTATAAATAAATGTTATATTTCTCAAGTCCACCTCCAAGGCCCAGTTCAGGCTCCACATCCTTCATGATTTCCCTAATGCCTTCACTTCACATAGCTCTCTTCTGCCTCTCAACTTACATAGCATTTATCATATGAACTTGTTCTCATTAGAGAAGGACTCATACTTTTTTAATCATATCAAATATAACAGACGCTACTGATTGTAAGAAGCACCACACAGTGCTTTTTTAAACAGAATTTTTATTTGATCCTCACTGACGTTTAGACATTCATACACAGATTGTATCACAGAGGATTCTTTTGCATACTTTATATAAAGTACATATACATAAGCAAATAAATTAAATATAGTACTCCTCTTTTACATAAGTATCAAATTCTTCTGAATCCCTTTTTGACTGGGTCATCAATGGTCGGGTGTTTCCACATAGTATTGTTCTATGCAATGATGATACAGCATTTCTTTTGAATTGACAAACAGTAATTGTAAATAGTTACGAGGTACAATGGGATGGCTTCATATATGTATATATTGTGAAGTGAGAAAATCTGTCTAATTAACATATATTACCTCACATACTTATCATTTCTTTGCAGTAAGAACATTTTAAATCCACTTTTTAATATTTCTTAAAAGTGTGCTCCACTATTGTCTCCAGGATTTTCTTCCAAGCTATGGATAGACATTCTGCTATGCTGATGCCTGTGTTTTCTTGATCTTACCAGCAGGTGTCAACAAAAGCTTTCAGGCAACAATCAGTAGTAATTACCAGGTTCAGCATGCTCCCAAGAGTAATTACCCAAGTTTCCATGTAAGCAGACTATGGCAACTACACGGCAACTGCCACTTGGCCACAAAAATCAAAAGATGCTATCCATTTTAAGATGTACCTCAATTTCAGAGATGTTAAAATGTGAAAATAAATGTGTTTTTAGAATCCATGAAATATGGTATATTCCATTAGGGCAAGATCATATGGTATGCCATTCCTTAGCACAATATTTAGCACTTCTGGAAACTGAAAAATTAATAAACAAGAATTAACACTAAAAAATTTTCTTAACTTCCCATGTTTCCATTAGAACAGAGGTTCTCAGTCGTTTTGGTGTCAGATTGATTCCTTTTAAACTGTTAAAAAAAATTGCTGAGAAGAAGTTGTTTTGTTTATGTAAGTTATATAGATTAATATTAGAAACCGAAACTGAGATATCTTTAAACATTTACTTATTAATTCATTCTTAATAACATACAATAAACCTATTACATGTTCACATACATATTTTTATGAAAAATAATAGGCTCTCCTGAGTGGAGAAAGTCTGTAGGTTGTACAACCATGTGAGTTACAGGGTGGATTAGTCTGTTTAACCCAGAGAGAGAAGGTTGTTAAGTCATTCTGAGCATAGATCTAAAGCCACAAGCTCCACTTCTCCTTTTTTCTGTAATCAAGCTAATGGTTTGACCTCCAGTTGTCTAAATCTTGTATATTTCTCTCTCAGTTGGTTCTCAACATGGAGGAACAGGGGTGTAACTTATCAGTCCCATAAAATCTTAATAAAACATTCACTGGTTGACTCAAACCTATGCTTTATACATATTTTTTCATGTGCTTTATATTTGAAATTCTTTTTCAAAGGCAATAGCATCCCACAGTGCTAGGCTTCAGTGTTATAGCTTCCAAAGGTGGCAATGCCCAATGCAAAGAAGGCTGAAGTCTCAATAAGCCAGTTGATTCAAAGCTTTGGGTTCTATAAAATTACTTTTGAACACTTGTATACTTGATTAATGGACACAGAAATTAATTTACGTAATCTCGAGGAATTTTAGACTGAAATACTTACTGAATTGAAACCTCATATGTAGTTTTTCAATTAAGTTTTATAAACTTATAAAACATGTGCTTATGCTAAATAAATGTAAACCTTACAAAAGGGTACAAAAATTCAAAGTAAAAGCTCCTTCCCAAATTTTAGTAGGCAGAGGCTCTATTAATAGTTTCTTGAGTATTGTTCAGGAAATTTTGTTCATACATAGGTATACATATGGGTGTACATATTTTAACCATAAACAGAATCATTCTATACATTCTAATACGTGGTTTATTTTTTCACTCTCAGTGTCTTGACTCTTTCCCTATCAAAACCAAAAGCTTTACTTTATATTTTTAAATAATACTTCTGCATAGTGTTCCATCAATATATATACCATAATTTATTTAACCAGTCCCTTTTTGATCAAGCATATGTTTCCTTTTTTTAACCAAAAAACATTCTATAAAACCACCTTTGAACATATCTTTGTAAACTTGTATGAAAATATCCTTAAGGAAAATACCTAGAAGTAATATTACCAAAGAGCATACACATTTTAAAATATCATCAATAACTGCAAACACCTTGCAAATGTTCATACATGGAGCTTGTTTCTCTACACCCTTGACAACCCTAGATATAACAGAACTTCTTCATCTTTGCTAATCTGATTGAGTGAAAAATGGTTTAGCACTGTTGTTTTAGTTTTTTTAGATCTTTAATTATGATAGTGGTTAGGCATTTAACACATCAGATATTATTTACATTTCTCTTTCTGTGAACTGCCAATTCATCTATTTGTCTGTTCTTCTATCCTAACCTATGTTTTGTCTTTCCACTATTGTGGGTATAGGAGTCTTGGGAACACTGCTCTCCTGGACACAGGAGAGCTGGAGGCTGAGGGGTAGCTCAAGAATCCCTGAGCACTGACTGTGTTCTCATTCCATCTCATTTTTTTTTTTTTTGACAAAAGGTGTTTATTGGCTCACATAGCTGAAAAGTTCTGAAGTAGGTCTGCTTCAGGTAAGGCTTGGTCTAGTGGCTCAAAAGATGTCACCAAGGACCTAGTTTCTCTCTATTTTGCCACTGTCTTCTTTAGTATTGGTTTTATCCTCAGGCTCCACATGGTAGCACCTGGAAGCTCTAGAATCTTCCCTCTTAGTAGAAAAAAAAAAAGTTGCTGTAGTTCTAGGCCTCAGGTTTTCCTATGTGCCACACAGAGGACAGATAGTATCTCCTCTGTGCTGATAGAAGCCTGTGCTGATGTTGGCCATTGTTCAAAAACACAGGAAGGCTCAGTGTTTATAAACATTCTCTTCAGAGGAAAAGTATAGATGGCTTATTTAAGTTCTGCCAGGCAGGTGTTACCAAGCCCTAAGTACAAAAAGGAGGTGGTATATAGTCAATGACTCATCCCTGCGGTGATTTTACTTTCATGGAGAGGGTGAATGGCTACCGTGTAGGCTGACAGGAAATAAGAGCCTAATGAAAAGCCACAATATGACATGGAAACACCTCATTTCTGTGTTTGCATTCTTGACTAAACAGATGAGAATTTGTGTATGTGGGGGGGTGTAAATCTCCCATTTTTAGCAAATTTTTAAGCAATGTGTAGTTTGAGAAAATCAAAAGCAGTCTTTTCGTCTGTCCCAGATATGGCAAATACTTTCCCTGTTTGATATTTTTACCTTTGTTTTGTTGTATATTGGTTTGGTTTCTATTTTTGTTTTTGCCATATAGAAAATTTAATTTTTACATTCTCAAATTTATCAATCTTCCCTATTATGGCTTTTTGACTTTGTGTCATGATTAGAAAAATCTTCCTCATTCCAATTTATACAAATAATTCATCTGTATTTTCTTCTGAAACTTTCATTTTTTGAAGTTTTAAATCTTTGAAGTTTTAAATCTGGCAGTAATGAATAGTATAAATACTCACTTATCCAGCTCTATTTTTAAACTATTTATTAAATAACAAACTAATGCTTAATAAGCCATCTTTATCACATATTAAATTTTCATATATATGAACACACATGGACTCTATTTTGGTTCTTTACTCCTTTATCAGAACTGTTTAAATTTTACTAACTCTAGAATAGATTTTATTAATGTAGACTTAAAATAACATTTTCAAGTATACAAATGCCACTTCAAATATATAATAAATTTGGTTTGAGTGCTTTTTACGTGGTTATTTTTTATCCAATTCACAAAATGTAGACACGAAATCTATCATTAGATTTTTAAATTTGTTAAAATAAAATTGAGAAAATAAACTTAAGAAAAGGAATGCTGCAGTAGTTTTCAAATTTTGTTCTGCATCAGAATTACCTAGTGAGATTCCTAAAAATACAGATGCCTGAGTCCCACCTTCTGGGAC